TTTAAAAAAAGACTAAACAAAGTTACAACGACAATGACTTTACTGGGGGGGGGGGGGGAGTCAAAATTAACTCAAACTTTCAAACCTTAGAGAGAAAGAAAACATGCAAAACAACAACACTACTTTTCTCAACATAAAGTGAAATTTGAAAATATGATAATTATGTTATAGAATACTGCAGAAATTAAGTCCTTAAGGAGTAGAGAAGAAAAAAAAAATCATATCTACCTGTCTCACCTGAAGCATCTCTTTCTACATCTGACACCTGCCACAACACAAACGCTTACACAAACAAAACCAAGGATGGCAAAGAAATGACTGCATATATTTGTTACAAATTGAAACAGATGGGATTATACCGACAACGCGTAGACAGCTTTTCAGCAAACACAAATAGTGGATGTATAGTGTGTTTACATAGGGACACTCAAAATCTGTAACTATGTTTCTGAAGAGCTGCTGTGGTGGCTGGCTGGGTGGGTGTCTGGTTGGCACCCACACATTTGTGTACTGGGAGACAGATGCATTCTTACGTAAAACCTTATATAATGATACCCTGTTCTAACCAGTATGAGCACTCCTTGTTCACTTTCAAGTTTTCAAGTTTACAGAAGGTTAGACTATCACTCCTCAACAAAAACACCATCACAACTTGAGCAGATGGAGAGATGAATGAAGAGTCCTCATTCAGTTTAACTCTACCCCTTCTGTACCTTACTATTTCCTTAATTTGTTAATACAAATAATTAAAAAAAAAGCCTTAAAGGATATATCTGACTTTTAGGTGAGGTTGAATGCAGTACTCGGGATGGCTGTGGATGAGTGGTTAGAGCAGTCGTCCTCCAATGCAAGAGTTGGGGTTTCGATCCCACCAGCAGTCACATGCCGAAGTGTCCCTGGGCAAAACACTGAACCCTTCATTGCCTCCGATGTGTGTCCTATCAGTGTATGAATGTGATAAAGCACTGATTATTCTTTGTATAGATCTAGTAGAGTGCTGTATGAATGGGTAAATGAGGGTGCAGATTGTGTTGTAAAGAGCTTTGAGTATCTTGATCAGATAGAAAGGCACTATATAAGTACAGTCCATTTACCATTTACTTCTGAGTGGATGTCGTACCTGCAGTTGGATAGATACTAGATTTGAGAATTGAGGAAGTTCTAATGGATGAGTAACAAGTAAGAGCAAATTTCTACAATTTCCACAAGGGTGGCTTCGACCCAGGTCACCTTCCGGTCGCAGGATCAGCACTTTCAATTCCCAGCTCCGGCACCGTGCCAAAGTGTTCTTGAGCAAGAAGATGTTGAAACTTTTCTATTAAGTCTGTATTCTAATTAGCCGTGAGCTTGATTCACTCATGAGAGTTTCTCTTTCGATTCTGCAAACCAAAATCACTCAGACTGCTGTCAGAGACAATAGAAGACAGTAAATAAATTAATAAATAAGACAATAAATACTCAGATATACGGCATGCAACCTTAAAAAAATTAATCTGAACTATTACTTTGAGTAAAAAAATAAATGATGTCAACAAAAATTTAAAGTGGTATTTGATGTGTTTGCTATGTGACTGACATTAGGACACAGAAAGAGAGCTCGTTCACAACCATTCTGAAATTATTTTTACTTTGCTGAGAATATACGACTACTCACGTTCAGTGTTAGTAATGTGGAGTAAATGCGATTCAAGTTTCTTTCTAAACTTTATAGGTGACAGAGCTGAAGAGACAAGTAGGAACAGGTTGGCCAAGCATCAACACAGATGTCAGAAAAAGACTGCAAAGTCCAAGACAGAGGTAGGAAGGGTGAAATGGATGGACAACATGTTTGATTGCTTACAAATGATACAGAGTGAAAAAGATGGAGGCAAAGTAAGAACTAACAGCTTTCCCCTGCAGCTTTAAACACTTTTTTTTCTTGTGTTCCCATTCAAAGGCAGTTAGTCTTTGATGTATCTATAATTAGTCAGTACACACTGTGAAGTATTTAAAAAAGAATCAAATTGCACTGAAACACTTGAGCGCTCGAAACAGTGGCTAACATGCTCTGCAGCAAGGGGAGCAAGCAGGAGAAATTAATGTTGGGCCTTTTGATGTGCTTGATCAGAAACGTATTTATTAACTGCAAAGGGGAACAGTAATTAACCCACAGACAGCTTGTTTTCTCTGGGTCTTTTCGTGTGTCAAATGGTTCATCCCACAAGGCTCCACTCGCCATTTGCCAGCTTGTGCACACACACTTCCTATTCCATCCCACTGGACTTTTTCCTCCTCAATTAAGTCGACTGTGCATGTGTATGTATATGTGTGTGGGTGAGTTGGCTTAAAAAACATATGCTTATGGATACGAAAATCCACAGCAATGACAAACATTAAATGTATAAAGACTGATTTACACATCCTTCCACTGCAAATTGAAAGGCTATTATAAAAATGCATTTACCAAAATAACATAAATAAATAAATCATGAAGTACTAGATAAAAAAAAAAAAATCTGTATGATAAAAGTGTTAAATTTATTTGTCTTATTATAAAGGGGAAGAAGTCTGGGACTTTTAACCCAAATATCACCAAGAGAAACCTAATTTAAATAATCTGATGTTATTTTTGTCATCACATTACATGTAATATACTATATTTATTTATGCATATACTGTATAAGGTTGTTTACAAGAGTTTTTAGATGCCAATTATGTCAAGTAAAATACAGTGGTTGGAAACTCACTGAGGCCTTTGCTTGCACACATAGACATATGCATAGACAAAGAACAAATCTAAAGGAGACACAGAGAGACAGAAAAATACAGACGGAATAGCTAGTTATCGTCACACAGTAAGAGAGCACAGAAAATTGTGAAGCTGTCACAGACAAAATGCTGCATGAATATTTATTAGTCAAATTAAAATTACAAAATACAAAACAAAAAAAAAAATGGAGGAGGTGAAAGAAAAAGACAGAAAATATTCCTGGAAACACCAGAGGGACAAACTTTTCTTACTAGCCACATATTCATTGTGTTTTCTACCACCACTGCCCCACTCCCCCCAAAAAAGAAAGAAAAATATGTCCCACAATAAATGTGAAATAAAGATAAGAAAACCTAGTCATAGCTCCACCGTATCAAATAAACTAGCAAGTTAAACATGCCCCAGCTCCCAAATCATGGAAAGGCTTTCAAATACACATTGTGCTTGTTAGAATGTACTGCAGTCGAGTTACTTGCAGTGATATCATTGTAAATCCTACCACAGAAGCACATCACTTTATAAATATAGCTGGCACTGTGCCAATACATATATACAGCTGGGATTTTAGATCTCAAAGGTAAATTCGTTTGCTATCATTTCAAAATACATTTTATTAGCTTGAACAGTTTACTTTTCATAAGAGCTTTAATTTATCAACAGTAGAATAACTCAAATTATTTAAATGAATGATACAAAAGACCACTAATTCACAGACAGAGTGAGTATAAGAACTGAAAGAAGACATCCTAGTCTGATAAATTATTTTTCTATCACACAAAATGGACAGCTAGATTTATAAGGTTTGCTAGTCTGGGAAACACATGGCACTAGCATGTACAGTGGGCAGTTGACAAACATATAAAGCAGTCTTATGTCCTGTGCAATAATCCATCTACCTACCTACTATATTCTTTTACAAAATACTTTCAAGCTAGAACTTTTATTTTCTTTCTCTCTGTCCTCCGGTGAAGTCAGACGTGTCTCCCTGGTCTCCCCCCCCCCCCCATGATTCCACTCTTTCGTGCTGTGAACCCTTAAAAAGCTTCTTTTTTTTCTGCATACCTCCTAATTCGAAGGTTCAGCTGGTTTCTCAACATAATTTATCAACTTCTCCCAACAGGAGTCAGGGTAAGGAGGACCCTCTTACCTTGACAGAAACAAATTGGGATTCATGATGACAACTGGTTTTTTGCTGCTTGGCTAGTGAACTCTGGATTGTCTATAAATTTGTGTTGATGTGTTGAAGCTCGACAGTGCTCAGACTGACGTTGTGGAGTTGTGTCAGAGAGCTGGAGCATCTGTTATCAGGACTGTGAACTCTCTAGCAGTGCACATGAAGGGGAATAATCTTGGAGAAGCTGTGAGCTTGACTTTAAGGACTTTAAGGAATCAATTCGGCTGTTTGGAGTTTCCATCAGAGGAATATACCAGCGAGACTTTAAAAGGCAGAAAGGGGGGGGGAGGGGGGGGGGCTCTGGACTATGCTACAACTTGCCCTTAAAAATTCAATGCCTTCATTGGCCTATATGTACATGTATAACATCTATTTATGTTGCTTTGCTATGGTAGTTTTTATTGTGTACCTCAAATCATGCCCTGTCTAGGACATGGCATGAGAGATCTTTTTTAATACAGTCTCTCCTCATGTTTTCTTCCCTTTTCTCATCTAAGCAAAATATTATTCTGAATAAGAATAAGAGGGCCGCACTTTCTATAGTAGCAGTTTCGTGCACTCCGCCCATCTTTCGGACGACTGTACGTACATGTTCTCGTTGTATCTCGGTACAATGATAATAAAGTTTATTCTGATTTTGAGATAGCCTGTTTGAGAATCCGTGTCATGAATACAATGGCTAGGGTGGAATAGGGGGAGTGGTCTGATCCATTCATAAAACCTCTTTGAAGAAAGGGGGTAGTCACAGCACTGAGGTGGCGAGTAGGTGCGTCTGGAGCTATAGATGAAGACCATGTACACATCTAGATGGCACCAGTATTACCAGACGGAAACAGCTTTTTTCAGGAAAATCTAACTAAAAATTTAAGCTGATGACTTAGCCTTTAGATTTCCAGATCTTAGTCCCACAGACATCAATGGGAAAAGTTCAAAGGGTAGTCACAAAAAAGTATACAGTTTGTGTGGATATGTAGTGTTTTTGTTTCAGTTTGTAGATTAATTAGTATTAGTGTACTGAGTCTAAACAAGTGTTTTTGTTGGTGGGAGGTAAGATGTGTTTGCAGAAAACGAACTCACCAACTCTACAAAAGACAGACCTCCATAACTGTGGGCTATGATAAAGACATTCTTGGCAGCAGCTTTGGACACAAAGTGGTCCCACACGTAGAGCATGTGTTCTTCAGAGGAACCATTTTCCTGTAAGACAAAAAAAAAGTATCATATCAATAACACAAAAACTAACAATTAGGACAAAAACAACCAATGAGAAACAAGTAACAATAGAGTTATTAAACTCTGTTGATGACTTAGTTCCAAGAAATCAAAGCATGAACGCTAGAGGCAACCAAAAAGAGATAAATACAAAAAAGGTAGTGTTCGCCTAAGGTGATTTTAACAAAGAACCACACTTCAACAGATCAATAAGTCTTGCATATTGCAAATGCCCCAAATGTAAAACTCAATAGTGAGGATGACATAACATTTAAATCTTAATTTGTACCCTACTGCTGAATCGATGACCCATCTAAACACAAGTAAAGGCATAATGGGAAGACACTAAGGGAAGGTCAAAAGGAAAAAAAAACTCCACCCACACAAGATAAAACAAAAAAATACAAAATGCAAAGAGGCTTAGTCACAATCACAAAAGGAGCCACCTGCCAATGTGCTCTCATCAATCTCATCTGTATGTATACAGTCGCAAAGACATGAGGGTTCATGTAACTAGAAGACATGTTTAATTAACCTAAGATGTAAGTGCTTATCCAGGGCTGCAGAGAACAATAGTAAAAACTACTGGCCAGAAAAGGGCAACCGTTAATGAACTTGCAACATTGATTCAAGGCTTTGATTTCCTATCAAACTGTCTGGTTCACAATAGAAATCAACAACACATACTCACAAGAGGCTGCTGCACACATGGAGCCCTGTTGACTAGGAACACCTGTATCCTCCACTGCAAATCAACACTATATTGTAGACGTGCAGAATGCAAGCTTGATAGCTAAAACACACAAGCGGGTCTACTACAGTTCTACTAATTAGCATACCTATACATGTAAAAAATAATAGCTCAAAAATAAACAAACACAAGGCCTATGGAGAATGAAGCCTCATCTGTTAATTGAGTGTCAAACTGTTCAATGTGACTCAAAACAAATAATTAGCAAGATAAAGTAAAGGACAAAGGGTGTCTCTTTAGAGACTATCCTGTTGGTATCCATAAATGTGATTGCATTTTTAATAAGACAGTGCATTATAACAGAAAGATAATTACTTTAACTTTCACTTTTTCAAATGTGGTAATTGAGGAGAAAGAGTAAAACACACACACACACACACACACACAGGCAAAATATGGTTTACACTTTACTTATAGAAGAAAGAAATCATTTAAATTGACAAAACGTTTTGCTTGCCTGCATCTGTGTATACAAGTCTGTGTGTGCTTGTAGTATTTGATGATGTGCTGATGCGTATTTTTGTTGCAGTGTTTGTCTAGAAGTAAATTAACCTGTCAGACTGTTTGTGTTTGTGGCAGATTAGCATGAGGGGCTCGTGGTGTCAGTGGCAACCTCAGTTCACAAAGTGTGATGCAAGAGTGGGCAACTTTGCTACTGTCTGCCCTTCTGCCGTCTGTGCAGTGCGTTTGTTTGAGTGCTTGTGTATATGTGCATGCATATGTGCTGTTCGCTATGAGCGGAGAGGCTGGGTGAAGGCGAGTTGTCTGTCTAAAAGGCTACGACATCAAAGTGCTTTGAAGTCTCTATTCTTTCTCCTTCACCATGTCATCATTTATTGTGAGGTTCATTTCATTAGTCTGCCTTATTTCCTCACTGTCCCTCTGTCATCCAATTTCTATTCTTCTTCAATGACACAACCTGTTTTTTCTTCACACTCCTCCATTCTCACTCAACTCACTCTTTAGTGTCATGGCTTGACATGGGTTCACATACCATTTTAAAGAGACTGTGCATGCCATCTTTGCTTCTTAAACACATTCAAAATGGATGTCCCTAGAGCAAGCTGGAATACCCCAGGCCCCTTTTCTCTGATCCTGTTTGTGGTGTTCATGGACAGGATCTCAAGGTGCAGTTGTGAAGAAGAAGGCGGGCGTCAGTTTTGAGGTTTCTCAAGGTCTCATCTCTGCCTTTTACATATGATGTGGTTCTGTTGGTATCTCCAGGCCATGACCTTCAGTGTGCACTTAAGGAGTTCACAGCTGATTGTGAAACAGCTGGAGTGAGAGTCTTCTGATCTGAGGTCATAGTTCTCAAGTGGAAAACAGTGGAATGTCTTCTTAGGCTTGGGATGTGAATCTCTGGTCCAAGAAGAATAATTAAAAATTCTAGGACTATTGTTTATGAGTGATAGTAGGATAGAGATGAAGATTAATCAATGGCCTTGCCTGCAGTAATTCAATTCAATTCAGTTTATAGTGCCAAGTCACAAGAGAAGTCATCTCAGGGCACTGAACAGAAACATTTGCATATTAAAAAACAAAACAACAACAAAAAAAAAAAAAAAACAAGTTAACAATATTTATCTGAGTAGTAGACTGCTTTGAATTTAACTCCATTGCAGAACTCTAATCTTGAGCAAGCATGAAGGCAACAGTGGAAAGGAAAAACTCCCTCAAGAGGAAGAAACCTCCAGCAGAACCAGGCTCAGGACAAGCAGCCATCTGCTTCGACCGGCTGGGTTTGAGAAGAACAAATACACAATGGCAGGTTGAGACTCATATTAAGATAGGAATAGTATCAAAGGAAAACTATTCAATTTTAGCAATTCATTTAAGGAAATTAGGTAAATGTGTCCTCCAGTAGTCTAAGCCTATAGCAGAATGACAAGCCAACCCTAATTATAAGATTTATCAAAAAGGAAAGTCTTAAGCCTATTCTTAAAGTTGGACAATGTGTCAGCCCTACGATCAGAAACTGGAAGTTGGTTCTACAAGAGAAGAGCCTGATAACTGAAAGATCTTCCTACCATTTTGCTTTTGGAAACTAGGAACCGCAAGTAAGCGATGAATGAGATTTTAGTTCTGGGTCTGTTGTAATGAACAAGTACCTCAGCAGAACATCAATAGTTTTGATTTACTGATCCTTCTACATTCAAGCTCTTACCTATACTTATGAGGTATGGATCATGACTGAAATTACATGATCCTGAATACAATTGGCTGATATGGGCTTCCTCAGTAAGGTGGCTAGGCTCAGCCTCACAAATATGGTGATGGACTCTGTCATCTGAAGGGAACTTGGAGTAGAGCAGCTAAGGTGGTTTGGACATTTGATTAGGATACCTCCAGGATGCCTCCCCCTGGAGGTTGTCTGAACAGGTCTGACTGGAAAGAGACCCCAGGATAGATCTAGAACCTGCTGGAGGGATTTTGCATCCTGTCTGACCTAGGAGTGGCCTGGGGTTCCCCAGAAGGAGCTACAAAGTGAAACTAGAGAGTGGAATGCCTGTTTTTATTGTCATTGACTTGCTGCCTCTGCAACGTGAACACAGAGAAAGGACAGAAAATACATGCACACTTAAAAATGGACAGAGGGGTGAGATGAAAAGACTGGAGACTTAGCACAAATACTCAACAGCCTTTGCCAGAAAACTATTTGATGATAGGACTGCAGCAACATGCCACTCTTTGAGCGGCTTCATGGCAAGAAAACATTTCCGGCCAGGCTTAAAGTTGTTTCATGAAAGGGGTTAATAGGAGATAACTAACAAAATACTACATTTTTATGTCTACTTCTATTTTTTAAGGTTATGGATAAATTAAATTATTATTAAAAGAACTGCAATATGCTCCTGACGCCATGTACCAAGCCTGTTGCCATCTTCCTTCAACAATGACTATCAGTAAGCATTTGAGGTGGATTACTGTTTGTGAATGTGTTTACTAGATTAACAGAAAGTTATGTTTTGTTTTCTCTTGATGCATATGCATATCTAATATCCTGCTTAGATAGTTCCATGGCAAAACCGTTTTAGAAGCTGACAGAAAAATAACATCAGCCAATCAAGAGAACATTTGACATAAATTATTGTTCCTAATCATTAATAAAGTATACAGAGTTAACTGAAATGGGATTTTAGTCAAGTTTTTGCCATGTAATCAACAGAACACTGACTATGTGTAAAAAAAGAAAAGATATCTGCACCAAATGTGTCTCATAGTTGTCAAGTTTTTGGGAAGTTTCAATTTATCACTTTGGTTTACGCTTAAAACTTTCATTCAATTTAAAAAGCCATGCTTGACTGTGAATGCACATGTGTGTGCACACACACCCTCCACCTCACACACACTCAAACAGGCACGCACACAGAGCAAGAACAAGTGTATTGCACAAGCTCTTGTTCCTCAAAAGTAGTTTAGTCTAATGCTTGGCCTGTGTTTATTCACTGTAATGAGAAGCAGGAAGAGCAAAGAAGATCGAGTGCAACAGGAGCCAGAATAACAACACTTCCGCCAACATAAACCCAGTGTCTTACCGAAGCAGGAAACAATGATTCTAACAACATCAACACACACTGACAAACAACCAACTCAGACCTCCCTGCTCTCCTTGATGCTGTTCCTCCTCAGTCACCTAAAAGACAGAAGACTTCAGAAAACAACTGAGGCAGTTGGGATTTCCAAGACGATTGTGAGCAGCATTGACCGGAAAGCATCTAGTGGATGAGAGCCATTATACTTTTTTTGCAGCCTTTTACAAACCTTTCAGCGGGAGCCAAAAGTGTCAGGACAGTGTCACGGGATCTCTAAACAGCTTTATTGGGTCTGGACTCATTTACTTGGTTTCAATCTTTTTTAAAAAAAATGTTGCTTAGCATTTCAAGGTGCTAGAGTGAGAGTTGAAGAAAAATAAAGTAATAAAAGCACAAATTATATATATATAAAAAAAAATATTCACAAGTTTTGTCTCGTCAAGTAAGAGAGAAACAAATTATTTAGCTTACGCAGAAGTTCTTTTTCTCACTGACTCACTTGTTTTCACACACAAACACACACGCATAAACTGGCTGACCTATCTCTCAATCTCTCAGTCCCCTTGTGTGTTTAGGCCACACACTGTGTAAAGCGACTTGCAGTCTCAGTCATTACAGTCTTTAATATGTCAAGCTCAGCACGGAACAAGATTGTTTTCATTTGGCCTAATGATTAGAAATTAAATAAGCAATGTAGCTAA